ATTTTAATTCCCTATTGATCATAATTTTCAATCAATAACGTCTATATTTTATCCAAAATCTTTAAAATTCTTCAAAATTCGAAAAATCCACTAGAATCGGCTGATTTCTCGTGATTTTACATGACATCATGATTTGCAGAGGTCACACATTTTTGCAAAGCGCAATAAATAGATTTTAAACAGATTTAAATAAATTTTAGATAGAATTTTAAATAGATTTTAAATAGATTTTAAACAGATTTTAAACAGATTTTAAATAGATTTTAAACAGATTTTAAATAGATTTTAGATAGATTTTAAATAGATCTTCAACAGATTTTAAATAGATTTTAGATAGAATTTTAAATAGATTTTAAATAGATTTTAGATAGAATTTTAAATAGATCTTAAACAGATTTTAAATAGATTTTAGATAGAATTTTAAATAGATCTTAAACAGATTTTAAATAGATTTTAGATTTTAGATAGATTTTAAACAGATTTTAAATAGAATTTAGACAGATTTTTAAGTAAATTAAATCAAATTTTAAACATATTTTAATTATATAAAATGCATATAATTTTAGATTTTTAATATCTCAAATAAATAATCTAATATCTAATCTAGCTATATACAAACCAGAAGCAATAACAAAACCATATGCTCTTAGATTCTCAAAAATATACACTTTATAATTTTCAAGAGCCGGAAAGAAAGAACAACAAATGAATGAAATATACATTCTGGATTCTCAAGATGTACGCTCTACGATCCAAAGAAAACTCAACGAAGCTTAACAAACCTGAAAAAGAAATAAGCATTAGCATGTTCACAGGCCAGAAAGAAAGAACAACAAATGAATGATATATACGTTCTGGATTCTCAAGATGTACGCTCTACGATCCAAAAAAAACTCAATGAAGTCTAACAAACCTGAAAAAGAAATAAGCATTAGCATGTTCACAGGCCAGAAAGAAAGAACAATGAATGAATGATATATGTTCCGGATTCTCAAGACGTATGCTCTATGATCCAAAGAAAACTCAACGAAGCCTAACAAACCTGAAAAAGAAATAAGCATTAGTGTGTTCACAGGCCAGAAAAAAAGACCAACGAATGAATGATATATATGTTCTGGATTCTCAAGACGTATGCTCTACAATCCAAAAAAAACTCAACGAAGCCTAACAAATCTGAAAAAGAAATAAACATTAGTGTGTTCACAGGCCAGAAAGAAAGAACAACAAATGAATAATATATACGTTCCGAATTCTCAAGATGTATACTCTATGATCCAAAGAAAACTCAACGAAGCCTAACAAACCTGAAAAAGAAATAAGCATTAGCATGTTCACAGGCTAGAAAGAAAGAACAACAAATAAATGATATATACGTTCCGGATTCTCAAGACGTACGCTCTACGATCCAAAGAAAACTCAACGAAGCCTAACAAACCTGAAAAAGAAATAAGCATTAG